GGGTTTGAACCACCAGCCTTCTGGTTAGCAGTCAAGTGCCTTAGCCACTAAGCTACCAGAGCTCCCTATCTCCTTTGATTAGACACACAGAAATACTAACTACACGTATTATACTACTATATATATAGTTATCATCCCTATATATTCCAATTAAAGGTAGTTTTTAATTTCATCACATCACTGCTTTGATTTTTTTGTTTTGTTTTATCTTTTATTTTCTTCTTTAAACTTTTTATTGTGATTTGTGTGAAAGTTTACAGAGCAAATTGGCTTTACATTCAACAGTTTATCCACGCTTTATTTCGGAACATTGATTGCAATCACATTGCAACAGCACCCTTCCCACTTCCTCCCTGTAGTTACGTTTCCCTTTGTCCTTCTTTCCTATACTTACTTATTTATTTTTCAAAATTGAAAACAAAGAAAGAACTTTATCAGTTAAAAGAAATTTGTTGTTTTCTTTATATTTTTCTGATGAAAGAGATGTTGTAGTTGTGTGCCCTCCAGTAGATTCTAACTCCTTGCAATTCTATATGACAGAGCTGAACTGCCCCATAGGGTTTCCTAGGCTGCCATTGTTATGAAAAATAAATCATCAGGGTTTTTTTTTTTTTTCTGTTGCAGAATAGCTAGTGGCTTTGAGCTACCTACCTTTCAGTTAGTAGCTGAGCACTTAACCACTCACCAACAGGCCTCCTTAATTAAAAAGATAATATAAGCTCATTACAGAAAAACAACAACTTCAGGAAATACAATGTACAAAATGATTCTGACCCAGCAATAACCACTGTTAATATTAGCATAGGCCTGTAAAGGGTTTTCTATGTATATACACACTGTCGTTGTTATGTGCCTGTCACAACAGTAAAAGGTGATCTCTAGGGATGATTTTAGAAAGTTTCAACCTCTATTGTACCTTCTTTCATTCCAGGTAAACAAACATCGTTTTGAACAGTTAAGAATGTTTATTTTTTTCTGACTGCATACATAACTACCTGCCTGGAGAAAGGGGAATGATGACCTTGAAATTCTAAAATAGAACAGATTAAACAGGAGAAATTAACTGACTTGGCGAGCAAAGGAAATTAGAGACAGAAGGAATTAAAGATAGACTTTAGCAGCTTCACTATTTTGCTCAAAGTGGAAAAGCATCTTTGTTCTTTTTATTAGCTACTACTGAGTCAATTTGGCTCATGGAAACCCCATGTGTGCAGAGTAGAATAGTTTCATAGAGTTTTCAAGGTTATGACCTTTTGGGCACAGATCGCCAGGCCTGTCTTCTGAGGAGCCTTTGGGTGGGTTCAAACAGCCAACCTTTCAGCTAGTTGTCAAGTACTTTACCATTGCATCACCCAGGACACCTAGAGAAAGCATCTTACTGCTGTACAGTGACTTCCTGTCTTCCTTTCCAGAAACAAGAGTGCTTCTTTCAATGACTTACCTCTCTCCCAAGTCAGAGTTTTTGGAAATATTCTCCAAATGAGTCACTTCCATTTCTTGTTCACTATAATCCAAAGTAGGTGCGTATATATATCCTAGCAAGTGAGCTGCTAGACTCTGAAAAAAATATTTGTAGTTACCTGATATTCATAAATCTCTTCTCTTGTTTCAATTCTATTTTGTATTGTATGTAATATTTTCATATAGTAGTACTTGATTATAGTTTATAGGTAAATGAATAGATTTGGTCATAGCCTTTCTGTTGTTAGAGGAGTGCAATGAATAGAAAATGGAGAACATATTTCTAAAAGTAAGGTCCCTAAGTTGTTGCATGCAGGTATTCTTTATTCTTGCATCCTGTTTATTAGCAATTTAATTTTAATACTAAATTAAACCTTGATAATTTACCAAAATTTTCCTGTTTTTACTTCTCAGACAAAAATCTGAGGCTCTTAAGAAACAGTATTCCTAAAATTTTCTCCTATAAAATAAATGCACTTCTTTTTAACTGATATGAAACTAAAAATGCATTTAAGTGTACAAATATCATTGAACACAATCTACGAACTCTGTGCTCTGAAAAAAAATTAATTATGGACAAAATAAGATTCCCTTTCTTCAGGAATATAAAGTGTGTTTGTGTAGATTATAGAGAAGACAATTTCATTGTATCTGCTAATCTTTTTTGTACTTTATTCTGGAGATCATATATTAAATTCAATTTCTTTCAGAGTCACTGGTTGAAGAAGGGCCACCTTGATTTTGAGAATAGTCTAAGCTAAGAACATCTAATGAAAAGATAAGAATATGATGTCAATTGTGATATTTACTCCAATATTAACATATTTGAAGGTAGATAGATGCCAGTAAAGGCCACGAAATACCTTGTTCTGTTAAGTAGGAATTGTATCTATCATATTAATTTGGGTATAGAAATATTTATATCATAAATAAAAAAAAGGCCTAGTACCTTACATCTATTTAACATGTCCTATAGGCCAGCTACTATTGTAAATATTTCTCCTCACTGCCAGGAATTATAAGAGAGAGAATTTTGAACCTTGATATCAGTTTGACTCTAAAGCTTCACTGTCCTGTTTATTAGGAATTTCAAAGCACTGGAGGTAAGGTAAAAAAAAAAAAAAATGTAAGTTTAGAATAAAGCATTCATGCTGGAATGCAAAGATGAAAGCCATGATATATACGTTGGCCGCAGAGTCAGCCTGACTCATAGCAACCCCTCCTTGGGTTTCCCAGGCAGTATCACTATGGAAGTAGATTGCCCAACCTTCCTTCCGAGGAGCAGCTGGTGGGTTTGAACCGCTAGTCTTCTGATTAGCAGTAAAGTGCTTTAGGCACCACCCTACCAGAGCTCCCATGGTATATACAGTTGTTACAAAAATAAGCTTGCAGGCAATACACATTTGCATGCTTATGAGAATCTAAATGAGTGCTAATGGAACAATGGTTAAGCACTCAGCTGCTAACTGAAAGGTCAGTATTTTGAACCCACTGGTGGCTCCACAGGAGAAAACATCTGACAATCTACTTCTGTAAAGATTATAACCTAGTAAACCCTTTGGGGGGAGTTATACCCTGTCCACTCAGTCAGAATATACTCAATGTCACAAAACAACAAGATAGTATGAAGATCTATTTGACTGCTAACCAGAAGGCTGGTGGTTCAAACCCACCAGCCACTCCTTGGAAGGAAGATTGGGTAATCTACTTCCATAGAGATACTTCCAAGAAAGGGTCACTATGAGTCAAATCGACTCCGTTGTTATGAGTCTGGTTTTGTTTGAAGGTATGTCAGTATATTGAGTGAGATTTGATGACTAGCTTGGCTTTGCTTTCTTACTCCCACAATCCTATGATGTTATTTCCATTTCCATTTCAGAAATCATGGACCAAGGAAATTACTCAAGAGTGACTGAATTTGTGTTGCACGGTCTTTCAGGTCCTCGAGAACTACAACTATTCTATTTTGCATTTTTCACAATTGTTTATTTATCCACTGTCCTGGGAAACCTCCTCATTGTGTTCACAGTCTTCTCTGAACCTGCCCTCCACACCCCCATGTACTTCCTTCTCAGTAACCTCTCCTTAATTGATGCGTGTCTATCCACTTTTGCCACTCCCAAAATGATTGTTGACTTCCTCACAGAGCATAAGACCATCTCTTTTGAGGGTTGCATGGCCCAAATATTCTTTCATCATGTCTTTGCTGGTGCAGAAATGATACTTTTCATGGCCATGGCATATGATAGGTATGTAGCGATATGTCGACCCCTGCACTATGCAACCATCATGAGTGTACAAAAATGCACAGGCTTTGTGCTCTGTTCCTGGCTCATTGGAATCCTGCACTCAGTAAGTCAGTTGGTCTTCATAGTAAAGCTTCCATTCTGTGGTCCAAATAACATGGACAACTTTTTCTGTGACCTTCCCTTGGTTATTAAACTTGCCTGCACTGATACCTATGTCCTTGAGATACGGATGCTTGCATACAGTGATCTAATGGCTATGAGTTCCTTTGTGCTCCTGCTCATCTCCTACACAGTCATCCTGGTCACTGTGCGACGTCGATCCTCAGCAGGCATGACCAAGGCCCAGGCCACCCTGACTGCCCATGTCACTGTGGTGATCCTCTTCTTTGGGCCTTGCATCTTCATCTATGTCTGGCCTTTCAATGACTTAACAGTGGATAAGGTTCTCTCAATATTCTATACTGTTTTCACCCCTCTCTTAAACCCCTTGATCTACACATTAAGAAATAAGGAGGTAATATCAGCAATGCAGAAACTGAGGAGGCACAAAGTAAGTAAGTATTAGGAGAGCCTTAAGCCAAAAAAATTCAACATAAAATATAGTTTGCTTGAGAGGTCGATGAAATTCTTGGGAACTTCAGAAAAAATAAACACAAAAGTGGGCCACATCCTTAACACTGTACACAAAGGATTTTGACATATGAAGTCTTGCTAAATTTGACTGCACAATCAAACCCACAATACATATGAACAGCCTATCTACAATGAACAAAGGCTAGGAAACAGAATAAATAATAGAATAACCTCCATTTCCCCACTTGAGGAAATAATAAATACGTAAAAATTAGGAAGTGAGTATGCCCCAAAATGTTATATATTCAAAGTAAACCACTATCAAAAAGGAAAAGCAAGTGAATTATGCTCTTGGGAGTATGATTTTTTTTTTTTCTTTTTCTGTATTCCTTCTGCTAAGAAACACTGAAGAGATGGACATTTCTTATAAAACAAATAAGATTAAGAATTGGTGTGAAGAAGACAGACTAGGACTAGGTATATACCCAAGTAATGACATAGTTGTAAGTTCCCTGGAATTTCATATATATATCTATATATATGAAATACATATTATATATATTGACTGCCATGGAGTTGATTCCAACTCATAGTGACCCCCAGCGGGTTTCTAAGACTATAAATATTTACAGAAGTAGATTGCCTTATCTTCCTGTGGAGCAACTGGTGGGAATGAACCACTGATCTTCTGATTAGCATCCAAATGCCTTACCCACTATGTCACATGAGCTCTTATTCATACATATATACTGGACTTGCAAGAGAAGAAGCCAACATTTCAGAAATGCCAATGTGAACATCAGAAAAAAAAGAAAGAAAGGGAGAGAGAAGTAGGGCAAAGGAAAGGGAAAGAAATAGGAAGAAGGAAATGGAAGGGAAGAGAAGGGAAGGTATGGGAAAGGAAGGATAACTTAATTTCTCTATCCATAGGACTAGGAAAGATACAGCTTAGTGAGACAGAAAACTATTAGACAGTTACTACTCTACTCCAGGTAAACACAACAGAAAAAACTTTGGCCCAACTCCACTCATGCCAGCAAAGGCCATGTTAGGACCCAAGACTTCTATTCTCCCTTGACACATGGCCTAACTCTCCAACTGCTCCTGAGTGAGGTCAAAGAAGGTCAAACATGAAGCCAGGACTTCACTAGTATTGTGTAAGTGATAGGCTATATAGGTAGCAACAACAAGGTATTCCTACTATTCCTAGTCTAAAAGCTATCAGTGAAGGCTTAGCAGAGAGCCAGAATTCTCACTATCATCCAGAAGTAGCAAGGAGCCTCCCAACTTCAATGGAGGCAAAGTGGAAAACCTGACTCCTATCTCCACATGGTAGTAATATAATAATATCTTCTCTATTTACCTCCCAGAATGATGGAAATAAAAGCCAGATAAAGCAGGTTTAAATGAAGTCCAGAGTGTTATAATATTCCAAATGTCCAGATTTCATGAGGAAAAAAAAAATCATTAGTCATATTAAGAATAGGAAAATCACACCTAGAATGAAAATGGATGATACATGCTAACAAAAAAGTGACAGAGAGGTTAGATTTATCTGACAAATATTTTTAGATAGTCATCATAAAAATGCTTCAATAACCAAAAAAGGACACAACTGAAAAAAAGGGGGGGTAAAATCTCAGAAAATAATTAGGAGATATAAAGAAAAATCAAATGGAAATTGTAGCAATTATCAAAATACAAACAAACATTCATCGGATGAGGTTAACAGCAGAATGGAGGAATTGAAATAAAAAAGAAAAAGAACTGAACATAGAAGAGTAGAAATTATATAATCTGAGAAATAATGGACTAGAAATAAATGAACAGAACACTTCACCCTCAAGAAGGTAGAGTATACCTCTTCATTCCTTAAGTGTCGTCTCCACAAGCTTACTTTCTTCCAAAGAGTAAAGTATGGAAAAGAGGTCAAAAGATTAATTTTACAGTGAAAAAAAATTGACAAATATTAACTAAGCCATATAAACAAGGTCAACATTTGCAGTAATAAGTTAGGTTGATAATATGTACCCTTTATATGATATGATGACAAGGATACCTTTTTCCTGTGACCTTCCTCCAAAAGTACATAACACAAATTTAGTCATGAGAAAAACATAAGGCAAATGTTAATTGAGGGAAATTTTACAAAATGCCTAGCCAGTAAAGCTCAATCTATTAAAATCTTCAAAAACAAAGTCTGAGAAACTGTCATAGCCAAGAGACGACTAAGAAGATATGTCTGATAAATGCAATGTGGTACCATGGATGGGATTCTGGAATAAAAAAAGAAACATGTTACCCCCAAAAAAAACTGAAGAAATCAGAATCAATATTAGTTAAAAATCATGTAGCAATGTAACTTTGTTAGTTATGACAAGTGTACCATACTAATGCAAAATTTTATTAATAGAAGAAGCTAAGTGTGTGTATGAGAACTCCTCAATTATTTTTTCTGTAATATAAAACTAATCTAAAATAAAAAATAATTTCAAAAAATAGACCTCAGAGAACAATGGTATTATAACAAGAGATCCAACATTAATGTCATCAGAGTCCCAGTAGGAGAAGGGAATAAAGGTGGAGTTGAAACAACTTAAAATAATGGCTGAACACTTCCTGACTGTAGCAAAAGCCATCAACTACAGATTCAAGAAGCTTAAAACCGAAAAAAAGAAAAGAAAAAAACTCACTGCTGTGGAGTCAGTTCTATTCATAGCAACCCCTCCTTGGGTTTCCAAGACAGTATCTCTACAAAAATAGATTGCCCAGTTTTCCTTCTGAGGTTTAGCAAACCACCAACTAGATAATCTCAAAGAAATTTATGTCAAAATATTCATAGATAATTGCTAAAATTCTGATAACTAAAGACAAAGAAAAAACACTAAAATTTGTAAAAGAGAAACAACATTTTATCTATAGTGAAAACATTTATTAAAATGATTGTGACTTTATCATCAGAATCCATGTAGACCAAAAGGAACTGTCACAACATATTTCAAGTGTTGAAAGAAATGAACTGGCAACTCAGAATCCTATACCCAACTAAAATATCCTTCATGAATGAAATAGAAATGATAATGTTATCAAGTAAGAAAAACGTTTAACAGCAGAAAGACCTTAAGATAATGGATAAAAGAATGAACAGAAAAGAACCAATAAAATAAGAGATCTTGAAACATCTAGATGGAAGGAAAAATATAGGTACATATTATAGACTCATCTTTTGAGTTGTCCATGCAATATTTAGCAGTTGAAGAACATTTATAATACTGTCTAATATGACTTGAAATGTAGAGGAAGTGTTTAAGACAGTGAAATTATTCATGATTGAAGGTAAAATCACATAAAGCTTTTCATGGTTCTCTTGAATGGGAAAAATGAAAAGACAAGTAGAATGTAATAAGTTATGTAGCTATAACATCTAGAGCAAACACTACAGATGCTGTCCAAAGAAATATATTCAAACACTAGAGTTAAAACATAAGGACATTTCAATAATACGCTAGTAACCCACAAGAAGTCAAAGAAAAGGAAACAGGTTAACACCTGAAGGAACAAAGAGGAAACAAAAAATAAATGGCAGATGTGAGCCCCAATGTACTAATAACTTCATGAAATATAATTGGTCTAATATACCATGTAAAAAACAGAGATTGGCAGAATGGAAATAAAAAAATATATATATTCAAGTTTATATTGTCTAAAGAAAGCCCTCTTTTCAAATACACAATAGTAGAAGAATCTTGAAAGAAAAAAGGATGGAAAAAGACATATAAATAATGAAAAGAAAGTAAAAGTGACTTTCCAATGTTATTGTTATTGTTATGTGCCATCGAGTTGGACCCAACTCATAGCGACCCCTCCTTGGGTTTCTGAGGCTGTATCACTATGGAAGTAGATTGTCCCATTTCCAATATCAGAATAAAATAATTTACCAGAGATATTGAGGGGCATTTTGTGATGATAAAAGGGTCTTTCTTAGGTTAGGTCCTTACCACCTGACAAGGTATTTTCCTTTATCACACAGTGATCTTACCTTTGATGAAACAAATCATCAAGGGGAGGTTATTGAGTCAACATGTTTACTAAATTTTATAATGAGAACTGAAAAAAAGGAAATTCTATCTGGAAATCATTCATTCATTCATCAAGTACAAGTTTTTATTCAATAATCCCCATTTGCCAAGCATAATTGTATCTACCTTAAAAATGGGAACATTCACAGCTACCCAGAGGGACCGAGTAGTTGATCCTGCGGGCTTGGGACCATAGTCGCAGGGGACATCAA